CCCTTTATTCTGCCCTGGTGAGGCCACATTTGGAGAACTGTGTTCAGTGTTGGGCTCCCCAGTTCAAAAGAGACAGGGAACTGCTGGAGAGAGTTTAGGGAAGGGAACAAAGATGACTGGGGGATTGGAGCATCTCCCTGATAAGGAAAGGCTGAGAGAGCTGGGACTCCTTAGCCTGGAGAAGAGAAGGCTGAGGGGAGACCTTATTAATGCTGCTAAGTATCTAAAGAGTAGGTGTAAGGTGGATGGAATCAGGCTCTTCTAAGTAGCGCCCAGCAAGGGCAATGAGTATAAACTGGAACACAGAAGTTCTATTTCAACATGAAGGAAGACTTCTTTACTGTGAGGGTGACAAAGCACTGGAACAGGCTGCCCAGAGGGGTTATGGAACCAAGACCCGCCTGGATGCAGTCCTGTGGAATGTGCTCCAGGGGATCCTGCTTTAGCAGGGGCTTTGGACTAGATAATCTCTAGAGGTCTCCTTCCAACTCAAATGATTCTGTGATTCTCTGTGAATTCTATCCTTACCTTCTGTAGATTCATAGCATAATGGGACCTCAGGAGAGCTGAAGTGTACAACCTCTTGCTCAAAATAGGTACAGTCTCATAAATGGTAAGTTGAGCGCAATAAACACTTCCCTTGATTTACTGGCCATGATACGATATATACAGACCAGTATACAGTTTATCTGCTTTGCTGCCAGGACACTTTTAAAACTGATGTTCAACTTAACCCTAACCCAGGTTAGATAACCCACCCTACCTAGGTGGGAGGGGATCAAGAGCATTGTTGTCACTTGTTCAATTGCTGATCCTGAGTAAAACTGTGACATGAAGCAATGAAAGATTATGATGATTGAGGGGGCAGTGCCAATGACAAATCACCAGGCAGAGCAAAGAGCAGGTAGGTTCCCAGGTAGAGAAGGAGAGAGAGAATGAGGGAGAGAGACTCTCTGTATTGAAAACTAAACTAGACAGCTTTAATTAAACATTAATGATAAAAGAAAATATGTACAAGATATACAAATGTGATCAGGAATGTGCAAAACCCTCTTGCCTCCTCCTGTCCCCAGCAGCTCCCCCAGCATCTCCTGAGCTGTGAGCAGCTCCAAAATGTCCCAGAGCTTCCAGTGAAAGGGCAGAGCAGACAGGAGCTGAGGGGAGTGATGAGGGACAGGGATGCATGGGCCTGAAGATCAGTGGGCTGGATGTATAGGTGGAGTCCTCCCTGGACACCAGTCATGGATGGGAGAGAAGGGAAGAAGCAGGAAGGAAGTTGTCTTCTGTAATCTCTGAACTTAGGTAGATGTATGGGATGGAATATCTCTGGCCAATTTTGCTGTCTGTCTAATTCACCCACTACAGGGGTCTCATAGATCTCCCGGTGCTGCCTGAGGCAGCAGGGCAAAGGCACGACCTTGGAGTCCCAGCAGTAACAAAAACATTCCAGTGTTATCAGTTCACTTGCTGGAACACTTGCTGCTAGTTAAAAGAGAGTTTACTGAAGGAGAAAAAAAAAATCAGTAAAAGGAAAATTGCCTTCTGTCATGATCCGCGACCTATTATATCTCCTTTTCGGAGTGTATTTAGCTTGTCAGGATCTGCTGAGAGGTCCGCACGTGGCGCTCACCTCGCACAGAGGAGCAGTGGCTTCGGCACTGACTTTTTGAGTGAGTAACTTGCTCAGTACTTAGTAATATTTCCAATAACAGCAGCCAATCCTCAATTAGAATTTACGAATGCACAGTTTATTGTGGGGAAAAACAAAACAATTTGGGGCAGAAGGTTCAAAAAGGGTGATTAAAGCACATATGAGCTGTGAAATATCTTTTAAGCATCAAATAACAAGAACTTATATATATCTTAATACTTATATATGGGCGCATCTTAGTTGCACACCTTATTTACTTATTTATGAGGGAAGGAGGAGGAGGGATATGCCTGATGCTTGTCCCGTATAGGGTCACGGTTTGAGTGCAAATAAGACAGGATTGTGCCTTCCCCTGCAACCCGGTTAGGACCAGGGGTGGCAGGAATCAGTCTCACCACTGTATTCAGCAGCAGACGGGTTCCTGAGGGTGGCAGCTGCAGGCAAGGCAGGCAGGCTGGCAGGAAAAGCTGCAGTGACGATGGGACAAGCTGGGTCAAGCCGGGTCTGGCTGGAATGAACCGGAACCAGGCGAGAGCCGGGACTAGGTGAGCTGGGACTCGGGCTGCAGCCGGGGCCCTCAGGCTGGCGGGCACTCCAAGGCGTAGGGCACCCCCCAAAGCAAGTGGCAACAGCGGCGGTAGCAGCAGCAAGTGGCGGCAGCGGCGGCGGCAGCGGTAGGAGCGACAGCAGGAGCAGCTTTGGCAGAAGCGCCGAGCAGCAAGGAGCGGCACCTTCAGTGTGACTGACGGAACAGCGCGCCGGAAGACAAGGAGGGGAAAAGCGCACCATGCTGACTCTTTATAGGTTTCCTTTGCTCCTGATAGGCCGGTTTCGTATTTCCGGGCTTTTCAGCCAATCAGATGGGACCTTGTCCCGCCCTTGCAGCCGCTTTTCCCACCACGGCTCCTCTCCCGCAGCAGCTGCCCCCTCAGGGCTTCCGAGTTGTTGTTTTCTGGCAGAGAAGGCAGCCAGGAGAGGGTTCAGAGCCACGTGGAGCAGCCATCTTTAAGTCAGTTATGTCTGCTGACCTAAAGGGCATTTCATGTTCGTGTGAGGAAATACCTGGTCCTTCACAGCTTCATCCTGGTTCAAACCAGGACAACATGCCATCTATGGAGAAGAAGTACCTTTCCTATTCTCAATCAAGAAGTATGGTGCTACATGCAGGCATTGTGCTGTAATGCATTTGCACTGGAATGCTGTCTAAATACAAGATTAATCCTGTGCCTAGCCTGGCCTTGGCAATCTCTGAGGTTTAATTTTTCAATGAAACTTCTATCTAGGGTCTGTTTTGAAATAAATTTTGCGTCTGCATTGTAAGGTTTATATCTTCATATTTGAAGAAAAAAAGTTCTATAGAGTCTAACAACTGTTTCCAAATATATTTGATGATGGAAGTGACTGACTCTTAAGAGAAACACTCTATCTCCATTTACTATGAAAAGAGTCCTAATGCTGAGGTTGGTTTCTTATCTCATATATCACCAGACAGTTTCATGATCACATAGGAGGAACCTGCCCTTGCCAAGCAGCCTTCTGATAGAGCAACCAGTGAAGGCTTTCTGAGTCGCAGTGGAATAATCAGAAAAGTTTATTTGATACGTAATGTTTTTTAGAGAAGAGGCTTCTCTGATTCATACAACTGTAATATGCAGCTGGTTAAATTCCAGCATCTAGCTGCACCAAAGCCCCCTTAGAGGTTTTATTTCCCCTTTTCTTCTGGCATTTCAGTATACATATTCCTTAGCTAAGATACTACATCCTCATCAGCATCCTTCTTCACAGCATTCTGATTTGAAATGGATTAGATACTGTAAACAGTTAAGTTTGGAGCCACATCTTAGTATTTGGCTGAGATTCATCAAAAAATTAAATTTCTGAAGTAGCATTTAGGATTTGCGTGTAGAGACTCTGTCTGTATTATTGAACTAAAAAAAACATCAAGACCTTTTCTGGTACATAAGTCAAATGGCATGAAATATGCATACCACTTAATATTTCTTAACTATCAACTGTAGTGGTAGCTACAAATGACCCCTGGCTGAGGCTTGTGTACAGCAGGGTGAGCCAAATAGTTTGCCAGAAAATACTGATCTTCAGGTGCAGAGACCTCTATTGTACCTGAACATAGATACCTGAAAATGGAGCTGCATTCCATCCAAATGTCTTTAAACACACAGTTTATAGATGTTTGATACTAGTTTGGATCCTTTGGAAAACTAGTGGGCACCGAAGGTACAGTAGTGGCCAGTAGAAAACATTCATAGAAACAGATGGTGTATGATCTACTCAGAGGTGTTCCTTTGATATTTTCTCCATCAGTTTAGAATGACTCTGTATGCATGGGAATATGGGTATCTGCATTGGAGCTTGTGGTATGTATTCCTTTTATATCAAATGAGAAAAGAGGTAACTATGGATAGTGATTCATTTATTTTCAAGTTATATTATTTGGATAGGAAAGGATGAACTAATTAATTTAAAGAATTAGCTTCTCTGAAAGGTGATTTCTGTTTTCCAGTCAGCCCTGGCATTTATCTTATGTTGTAAGATAAAGATGTATGTATGCACTGAGCAGTCTTCTGGCAGAACAGTACTTACATGATAAATAAAGAGATAATGATTTAGACATTGATGCAAAAGTTTCAAGTTATTATTTTTTTAAAAGTACGCTTTTTACCAGAATTTCAAACCACTGTAATCAGCTGTAAAGTTGAACTTAAACATATTATCTTTCTACCATGTCAGATTGTATTGTTACAAGCTTATCTATCACAGAGAAGGAGCTCCGGTCCTGTTACAAGCCCTTATGCAAGAATGAACACACACATGGAAAAATAATTCAGCAATGTAATACTTTTTATTAGTATTATTTAGCCAGAGAGCTCTTCTGACACGATATTTCAATTGCCCATCAGTGCTTGTTGGCTGGAACCCAAATTTCAGTGGTTCCACTTCTTTCTAAGAGAAGTGAATAAAACTGAGAAACAATAGTTTAAAAATTACAAAACCCAGACAAATAGATAACTCATTTCCCTTTTGATTCACCTAACTTATCTTTGGATATTTACAGTGAGAATGTATCCACCTGAGCTGACTAGGTTTCAATGCATAGAAACTAGGTGCTGCCAGAGCCTGTATTTTATGTTTTATTTTAGATGTCTAATACACAGTGGGATCAATTATGGCTTTAAAACGCTTGTGCCTTTTGAATGGTTATTAAAGGACTCTATATTACAGCTCTTTGTAAAAGTCTAAATTGGCTAAATGAATCCACACCTTTATCTGATCTTATTTTCCCGGACTTCTTTTATACCCCTTGCCTTCATCTAAGACATTGACTGTGTAATCACAAAAGGCTCTGGAAAGCAAGCCCAGATGTTTTACATTCTAAACATCTATCTGTAGCGAATTTGACACTGTGGTCATTTTCACCCTTAGTAAAGGTACTAAAAAAGCCTTCCCTTTTAAACTGTTTTGTCAGAGACTCTTTTACCTCTTTTTTTTGGAGAGTACAGATGAAAGGGTTTAGCATGGGAATAACAATAGTATAGAGAATAGAGATGGTGTTGCTTTTGTCAGCTGAAGGCTGAGCATACATGAAGAAAACAGTCCCAAAGAACAAGCTGACAGCCAGCATGTGAGAAGAGCAAGTGGAGAAAGCCTTGTGTCTGCTCTCAGCTGAAGGCATTTGGACAATAGTGAGGATTATATAACCACAGGAGAGAAAAGCTACCGAGGCAGTGCCCACGATGATTGATCCACATACAGACAGCATGACTATTTCATTGACAAGTGTGTCTGAGCAGGCAGCACGCATCACTGCAGGAACATCAGAGAAGAAGTGATTTATTTCTTTGCGCCCACAAAAGGACAAACTGAATGTAAAGCCTGTCTTCTGCCCTGTGAGAATGTCAGTGCTACTTTGGAGTGATGACAGAGGAATAGCAGATGTCTAGAATGGACAAGTTCTCTAGGAAAAAGTACATGGGAGTGTGCAGCTTGGAGTCCATTTGAATTATGAGGATCATGCAGGCATTTCCCACCACAGTGACAACATACATTGCTGAGAAGAGAACAGAGAGGAGTTGTAATCCTGGATGAGATTTGAACCCAACCAAAATGAACTCGGTTACCTTGGTGTGGTTTTCCATGTTTCTTTTCAAATGACATTCAAATAAAAAATTAGAATGTAGTGGACTTTGGACATTTTCCCTAGAGAAGCAATTAGAGGAATAATATAAACAAAAAGATATGAAACATAAGAAATATGAAAAATAGAGAGATGGATGGAAAACAATGGAAAGTAGATTAAAGTATCATATAGTATCTGTAGATTTTTCTAATATATTCATATACAGAAAACCAAGTACCCAAAGAGAACCAATATTCTTTTTGGTGTAAAGAAATACTTTGCATGCAGCAATGCTTACTTTGCATGCAGACTTTTTAAAGTCTACTTTACAATCAACAAAGAAACAGGCATTTCATTTGAAATTTAGTCTAAATAACTATTTCACATGTAACTGGGCAGAAAAAGATCTCTCCCTAAGATTACAGCTAACCCAGAAAAGACTGCTGGTGGCCATAGGTGTATAAAGGTGAGTTATATCCAGTTACTGGTATCTTATTTGCTCTGTTGTAATTTCCATCAGGTACATTATCATAATCCTTGTGTACCTAGTAATTTTAAAACACTTAGTTTTTAACACATGACTTCAGCCACCTCTTAGATCTTCACAGCCAATATCTGAACCTCAAATGAGATTTTTTCCTTGTGCCATTTGTCTTTTCCTGCAAAAGAACAGAAACTGAGAACCCAAACAATGAAGTGTAATGCTACAACTTGTGCGTTTTCTAGCCCTACTTTTTTCACTCTTTCTTAAATTGAACTCTTTCTGCCCCATTTAGATTTCTGTCCAAGAGGCAAAACACTCTGGACCTAATCAAATCACAATTAGCCATTAGATTCTGCTTCTTTGCAGAATACCAAAGTAGAACAGACATCATTGCCTTTTTCCCAACCAACGTGCTTCCCTTCCCTAAATAAAAACAAGTTTTCGTTAATATGCTCTCTTCTCTTACTGGGAGTCAGAGGGTACTCTCCTCCTAAAACCTAGAGATGTGATTCAGATGGCTAAAAATGAGGGTCCAGCCTCTAAAGAAAAACTGACTTGGACTCCAGCACTGACTCCAGGAAGAAAAAAGCACCTCACAACTGATGTGTGTGTATCTCAGACACTCTGGGTCATGCTGTTATTTTTCAACAAGCTAATTTTCTTGTTGAAAGCAAAGAGCACAAGAGCATCAAATTAAGTTATAGGAGACTATATTAAATTATCTTAATTTTGGAGGGTGGTTTTAAATAAATATACGTGAGATAGTTTTTTACTTTTTGATATAGAAGCCTTCTAAATTTTATGACTCATTATAGATCAATACTTTCTACAAACAGCCTGTTTTACTTCTGCATACATTCTCACCAGAGACACTCATCATCCCAGCAGCAGACAGCAAGAGGAAGAGAGATGGTAAGGTTCTCAGGAGCTAAGATTAGTCTTCTAGTCTTATTTATATGACTTATGGAAGGAGATTTATTTACAGTACTCTGAAGGCACCTAACCTTAAATTTACAAAAGAGTTAATTGGGAAAGCTTCCAGAAGCAAACTTTTAGATCCAGGAGAGAATTACATTCTCAGAAAGTTTCTATTTGTATAATGCTTGTCTGTGTTCTCTCTGTCTCTAAGAACACTTAGGGACCTCTGTTGAATAGGTAATTAATTGTTTGATTCAGGTTTTCTAACGGCATCTTTATAAGTGGATATAAAAAACCTTAACAATTTGATGATAATCCTCTTCACTGTGTATTTGAAGGGTTTTCTTGACATAATTTCAAAGCAATCACCTTTATAGAATCATGGTATCAGAATTGTTTTGGTTGGAAAAGAACTTTAGGATCATTGAGTCCAATTCTTAACCCAGCACTGCTAAGTCCACCACTAAACCATTGTCCCACAGCACCACATCTTTTGAATCCCTCCAGGGAAAGTAATGCCACCACTTCCCTGTGCAGCCTGTTCCAGTGTCTGACTACCCTTTCAGTAAATAAATTTTTCCTAATATTCAACTTAAACCTCCCCTGGTGCAACCTGAGGCCATTTCCTCTTGTTCTATTACCTGTTACTTGGGAGAAGAGACCAGCCCCCACCTTACTACAATCTCCTTTCAGATGTAGAGAGTGAGAAAGTTTCTCCTCAGCCTCCTTCAGACTAAACAACCCAAGTTCTCTCAGCCAGTCCTCATAAGACTTGTCCAGATTCTTCACGAGCTTTGTTGCCCTTCTCTGGACACGCTTCAGCCCCTCTATGTCCTTGTGGTGAGGGGCCCTAGACTGAACACAGCATTCAAGGTGCAGCCTAACTAGTGATGTGTACAAGGGAGTGATCACTTCCTTAGCCTTGCTGGCCACACTATGGCTGATACAAACCAAGATGCCATTGGCCTTCTTGACCAACTGGGCACATGCTGGCTCATATTCAGCTGCTGTTGATCAATACTCCCAGGTGTTTTTCTGTCAAGCATCTCTCCAGCCACTCTTCCCCAAGCCTGTAGTGTTGCTAGGACCCAGCATTTGGCCTTGTTGAACCTCATACAGTTGCCTGTCCATGGATCCAGCCCGTCCAGACCCTGCTGTAGAGCCTTCCGGCCCTCAAGCACATCAACACTCCCTCCCAACTTAGTATCATCTGCAAACTGGCTGAGGGTGCACTCGATCCCTTCCCCCAGATCATTGATACAGATGTTAAAGAGAACTGGCCCCCACACTCACCCTGGGAAACACCACCTGTGACCAGCTGCCAGCTGGATTTAACTCCAATCACCACAAGTCTTTGGACCCAGCATCCAGACAGTGTTTTATCCAGTGAAACATGCACTTCCCTGTGCCAAGAGCTGGTAGCTTCTCCAGAAGAATGCTGTGGAAATGTGTGTCAAAGGCTTTCTTAAAGTCATTGTAGACAACATCCACAACCTTTCCCTCACTGACTAATTGGGTCACCTTGTCACAGAAGGAGATCAAGTTTGTCAAGAATCACCTAACCTTATCACCTTCATAAACTCATGCTGACTCAGTTTGATCAGCTTGTTGTTGTGCATGTGCTGTGTGGTGACACAAAATGATCAGCTTCATAACCTTCCCCAGAACCAAGGAAAAGCTGACAGGCCTGTAGTTCCTTGGTTCCTCCTCCTGGCCCTTGCTGTAGATGAGTTTGCTAACCTCCAGTCAATTGGGACCTCCCTGGTTAGCCATGGCTGCTGATAGATGACACAAAGTGGCTTGGTGAGCATTTTTGCCGGTTCCCTCAGTACCCTTGAATAGATCCTATCTGGCCTCATAGACTTGTCTGTGACTAAGTGGTGTAGCAGGTCACTGACCATTTTCCCTTGGATTACAAGGCTCCATTCTGCTCCCTGTCCCTGTGTTCTAGCTCAGGGTGCTGGATTCCCAGAGAATACCTGGTATTTCTACTAAAGGCCGAGGCAAAGAAGGCATTAAGTCCCTCAGCCTTTTCCTCATCCTTTGTTACTATGTTTCCCCTGAATCCAATAAAAGTTGGAGATTCTCCTCAGCCCTCCTTTTCTTGCTAATACACTTACAGAAACATTTCTATTGCCTTTTATTGCAGGAGCTAGATTAAATTCTAGCTCTTCTAATTTTCTCCCTGCATAGCTTACCAACATCTTTGTAGTCCTCCTAAATTTCCTACCCCTTCTTCCAAAGGCCATAAATATTTTAATATATAGCAATAAGAATAAAGTGACACTGTACTGATATTGGCTGTCATACGATTAATTTTATTCATAGTAGCTTGACTGGAGCTATGTTTTGGTTTTGTGATGAAAACAGTGTTGATAACACAGGGCTGTTTTAGTTATTGCTGAACAGCACTTGCACAGTGTTAGGGCCTTTTCTGCTTCTCACACCACTGCTGCAGTGAGAAGTCTGGGGCTGGACAAGAAGTTGGGAGGAGAAACATCTGGGACAGCTGAATCCAACTGACCAGTGGGTTATTTCATACCATATGACTTCATGCTTAGCAACAAAAGCTGAGGGAAAGAAGGACAAAGTGTTGGAGTTAGGGTGTTTGTCTTGCCAAGCAACCATTGTGAATCCTAGAACCCTGCTTTCTTTGGGATGTTTGGACACTTGCCTGCCCACAAATTTTCTCACTTTCACTCTTCTAATTCTCTCCTACATCCCACTGATGAGGAGAGTGAGCAAGTGAGTGTTTGTGACTTAGCTGCCTGCTGGGGTTAGACCACAAGTAATGTGTAAGCCTGATCTAGGCATTACAAGCTGTCTATGAGAGAAACAGGCACCTTTAGAGAATGATTCATAACATCTGTACATTAAAGGTATGAGTTAAAGACATAGAACATGTAAGCTTGGGGGTGATAATATGTGTACATGAATAGTAAAGGAATCTAGGGTAGTTTCCTTAGATTTCTCATTAAACTTAGATAAATAAGCATGGATTCCTCAAAAAAATAATCTAACTATGTCTGTAGCTCTTCATCTTGTACACGGCAACAGTATACACAGAACAAGTTCTTCCAGCAAGGTCTTAAGGTTTTCTCCCTGGAAATTAGATGTTCCATTAACGCCAAAATCTGAAAAGGCAGTCTGCTAGTACAGAGCACAGAATGTCAGAAACTATGGTCTGAATTATAAACTCAAACCTCCATTTAATATAGATGTTCGTTCAGCTCGTAGATTCTAATATTTTTATTATTAGTTGTTTGTTACAGAGTATTAAACATTTTAAATCACTGTGATATTCTAAGGATGATGTGGATTTTAGAGGCACCTTTTGACCTTCAGAGGCTTCTGACTGATAATCAGATTTTCTCACAGATAATTAGTATTTAATTCAGATGCATCAGCTGGGTCTTTAGACTCCTTCATATTCAATAAGAAGACTTGGACTGTAGTCTGTGATTTGGAGTTTAAGGTCCTGCTGGAATACTGCTGGATCCAAGCCTCATGCAGCTTAAAGGAAACTTTGATCTATCCTGTCAGCTGTGTCTGAACTTCTTGGAGTGAATTCTTTGGTGTGCCTTGGGTACAGTAAGGTTATTTAGGGTAACAGAGTC